AAAAAATAACATTTTCGGGCAGATGCCTGATACCTTTTCACGTCCAACCAGGGAGTCTTTGTGAAAGGCGAATGCCCTTACTCTTATTCACTGCGCTACCAAAACACTCGCCAAACGCCTATGATGAGTTATCTTTCCTGATTGTAGACACCAGCTACTGCCGCTGTGGGCAGTGAAATATATATTCCCTGATTTTCCTGAGTTACTGCACCTTTTTGTGGAAATTAAAACAACCAGGGACAGTTTTATAGATGAGTTATCACCTGATTTCCATGAGTATTGCCCCTGTCAGTTGCACATAAGTGAGCTTGCCCCTGTCAGTTGCACTTAAGTGAGCTTGCCCCTGTCAGTTGCAATTAAGTGAGCTTGCCCCTGTCAGCTGTACTTATAAGTGAGCTTGCCCCTGTCAGTTGCACTTAAGTGAGCTTGCCCCTGTCAGTTGCACTTAAGTGAGCTTACCCCTGTCAGTTGCACTTAGTGAGCTTGCCCCTGTCAGTTGCACTTAAGTGAACTTGCCCCTGTCAGTTGCACTTAAGTGAGCTTGCCCCTGTTAGTTGCACTTAAGTGAGCTTGCCCCTGTCAGTTGCACTTATAAGTGAGCTTGCCCCTGTCAGTTGCACTTTAGAGAGCTTGCCCCTGTCAGTTGCACTTATAAGTGAGCTTGCCCCTGTCAGTTGCACTTGTAAGTGAGCTTGCCCCTGTCAGTTGCTCTTAAGTGAGCTTGCCCCTGTTAGTTGCACTTAAGTGAGATTGCCCCTGTCAGTTGCACTTATATGTGAGCTTGCCCCTGTCAGTTGCTCTTAAGTGAGCTTGCCCCTGTCATTTGCACTTAAGTGAGCTTGCCCCTGTCAGTTGCACTTAAGTGAGCTTCAAAACAACCTGGTGATAGCTTCATCATGAATTGACATTTTTTTATGCTATTAGGATGATCTAAATCTTGTACAGGATACAGTTTCACACACATGTTGTCAAATTTGAGAACCACTCCGGGGTCCCTGGTTATGTAACAGTCTTCTGTGATAAGTACCTTTTGACAGTCTCCGGATATTCCCTCCATAGCTCACTTCCTGATCGTACTTACTGGTAATAGCCAGGCCTACTACATTGACATAATATACTGTTTATATAAGTATACAGCTAAAACACACTCATACTGGCACAATAAAACTGACTAAAATGCAATAATAATAATTTGAGGTTCCTATATACCACTTTATCACAACCAAATTTGTAGGTTATTATCGGTAGTTGCAATGACAAACATAGCTCTGTAAATGCCATTTCCCAGTTGTTGACATAATGATTATTATGATATCACAATGGTGCGTAAGGTTGGATATCACTGGAACCTGATAAGAGATGTCTTTTCTTTTTTTTTTTCTTTTTCTTTTTTTTAATAGTTGATAATTATGAAGATTTCATTGAACCAAGAGATTATGCCGTCCTCCTATGGTGGTTTAGCTGTTCAAGTGTTGACACGAGGAAATTGTACGATAACATTTGTTGTACATGATAATGACCCTTTTTACAGAATCATTCACTCAAAGCATTGTAAATGTAATGGATGCGTAAATAACATTAAAATCCCAACACTAAATCTCAGATACATTGCATCAGCTTTAAAACACCACAAGATAACCTTACCATGAAATGGCACCAAAGTTTCGGAACACACTCAAATTTTCCATTTCATCCTTTTAGTTTTAAATTGGCAATTTTGCTGTCCAGATGTATGTGTTATTTACTGTAATGATTTAGCATTCTTATCTTGATTGTTTGATTATAAAAGCATTTAGTTTAAAAGTATTTTATGGAATAATCTAACACGTTGATTGCATACGAACTCCGATATGATTTCAGAGGGGTTGGGAAACCGGTTAAAAACATACCCCTGCTTGTTGGTTTGGTATCACACGCTCAGATTGTCACAGTTTGTCAAAATTCTCAGGGGTATTTTTCAGGTTGTGAATATTTTGAAACCTCCACAAAATACAAGCACCACATATGTACATGGTACATCTCATCCTCGACATCCAGGGGTTTCGCTCACTTTCGCTCTCTTCACCCTTCATCCTCGACATCCAGGGGTTTCGCTCACTTTCGCTCTCTTCACCCTTCATCCTCGATATCCAGGGGTTACACTCACTTTCGCTCTCTTCACCCCTCATCCTCGATATCCAGGGGTTACACTCACTTTCGCTTTCTACACCCTTGGAATATGTCATAGCAAAATTGAAGGCACGCGGCTAGCTATTTGCTCGGTGTCAGGTAAAAAAAACCTGACCAATCACTAGGCTGATACTTGTCCTTTAAAGATTACAAAGGAGAGATGCCCGACTTCAAAGCCAGTCAATTTTTACCGTTATGCGACCGCGAGTGATCTTGAAGCCCAAAAAACCCCTCTGGATCCGCCACTGCAATGTACGTATTATTGTATGTGTAGATAGTAAAACTGTGGTATCACATATTTCCAAACTGATGAATCTTATTGAAGATACAGTATCCATCTATTGGCAGCAACTTAACATTGCTATTAAGATATTATTACTAGTAACCTTTTCACCACTGTAGACCATAATGGACTCATCCAGATCAATGCATGGCAGAGTCTACTATTTAGTTAGGTAGGGTGAAAGAGTTAACTCATTGAGTGCATTGTATGCAGCTTTGTTCTGACTGCCCTTATTTGGGTGTCCAGTAGTATTGTAGTATAACAATATGTCCGATCTAGCTTTCCTCGCTATGAGGCAAGAAAAAATCAAACATCTTACTGACCTCTCTAAATAGTGTCTGGTGATAGACAGGTTTAATTTTCTGAATAACTGCCATATTAATGACATGCCTTTGTTATATATATATGTGGTTAAGCCTAGATTGCTCGCAATGATCGGCTGCCAAATGTCAGACTATAAGTTGGTGATTTCTTTGGGTTTTTACCTCAATCCCACTCAAATGATTTGAGGAAGAATTAAAGTCAATAATTAATAAAACGTTGATGAAATGATGCTAAGATGGAATATAAAATTGAAAAAAATCAAATCTTTCATTACGAATGCTAAAACACCAATGTGAGTTTTTAGTTGGCCATAAACATAAAATTAAATGAGTTCAATTTATGTAAGGAATGTTTTAAAATATTTTGATGGGTGTCATTGAGCCAGAGTAAAGAGCGTTCCAGTCGGTATCATTCCAACATGGGTATAGTCCTGTACATAGATGTTCAAGGTATCACCAAAAATAGGTGTTAGTTGACACAACTCTTATAGAATGTGTCGGCCCCAGATCTGGATAGTTGACACATTTCTTATACAATGTGTCAGCCCCAGATCTGGATAGTTGACACATTTCTTATACAATGTGTCGGCCCCAGATCTGGATAGTTGACACATTTCTTATACAATGTGTTGGCCCCAGATCTGGATAGTTGACACATTTCTTATACAATGTGTTGGCCCCAGATCTGGATATCTTAAAATGTCCAAATGTTTTCTTGTGCTTTGGTGAATGTTGAAAACCTATACCATATTGATATAGTTACTGGAAGAAAATTTTTGATTTAAATATTTTGAATTCTCTGTTAATCACCCTCTTATAGTGGTTAAATGATCTCTTATTGACAAAAGACTAACACGGAATCAACATATTTATACGATGATCCACTCAATGTTTTAGTAGGGGGCAACATTCACATGCTATAGAAGCTTGTTACACACAATTGCGAGTTATCTGTCAAATGATCAACATATGGTTTTCACTAATTAGTAAATCTTGAAATGTATGTTTTCTTTTTGGTGCAGTTCTTAATTTATTTGGTATCCATTTATCTCATATGTTTCAGCAATGTCATAGGTACACATAGCTATTTTAGCTTACAACCACATACATCAAAACTCTTGCTGTTTATGTTTTTTAAAAGAGATTTCTTGTTACCTTATTCATAAGGACATTTCACTTGGTGTGTATGTCTTATGTGTGATAATGTTGGCGTGATATATATAAGTAATCAACATGATGTATAACCATGAATGAATGTTGATACAAAAGTTGATATCACATTTTCAAATGATGCTTTTTGTGAACAGTTCATTTAATGTTAAGTGACAATATAAGGCTTCATTCTTAATTTACGGTGAAAACATACAATTTCTGAATCTTTTTGTAGTTCTGTTACAGTGCAGTTGTAAATTGGTGTAGAGAAATACAATGAACATTCTCTAAATAGATGTTTTCCAATTTGAATTTGAACCTACGCAATTTCTCCTGTTCATTGTGATCTGACGGGGATTGTCGATTGTGCGTCTGTAGGAAGTTTTACTTGGTCACATTCGCATGAGTCAGTTAGTTTGCTGGCGCTGCAGAACATTTCTTTGATTACAAAAAATTTAGAGCAAACTAAATGTCGACGAGATTCAACAGAAATCTATCAGGTTTGTTTGACCTCTATCAAGGTCACCAAGACTTGGTATTGCTTGAAGGACTAATTAAGTAGCTGTGTCTGCCAGTACTGGCGGATTTGGTGGCAAAAATCAAATAAAATGCAAATCAAAATCTGAGCCATGTATGCTTACTGTTACAAAAATTGTGTGGGTACAGATATAACAATGTTTGCTTACAGAAAATGGTGATGAGGGTGTGCTTAAACGGGAACAGTGTTTTATGGTACACTGAAACAAATCAATGAGTAATTGCCCACAACTGGTTTGATTTAAATTCGCTGAAACCCGTTAAGTAGGCATCATCCTCGTCAATGACACAGTTATGTATTTGTTGGTGATGTTAAATTGGTGCTATGACTTTTTTGCAGAGTTATGTCCCTTTTTATACAGGTTTGATGTCAAGTTTCAGAAACCCACTGTCTGTTAGGTTTAATTTAATATAATTTGAAACATCAACTTTGCAATAAGTTCAGCTTGAATCTTCGAAGTTCGATTCATAGACTTTGACTGTATGTTTTACTGAAAACCTGTATTTATATGAGTTTCTGTTTTATGTATTTCCAGAAGCTGGACATGGACAGAAGTGGACTAAACAAAATGAAGAAGTCAATAAAAGCTCTGTACAACTCTGTAAAACGTAAGAATTTCTATTATTTTCAACATGACACTGCCCAGTGCTCAAAGTCGAAGGTCAAGGACGACCTCCATAGTTGTAGGGATTTTCTTACAACAGGTGCAGGTTCCTTAACTCATTTACCCCTGAAGACACCGTTGAACCCTTCCATTCAAAGACTGGAATAACCCATTATGAAATTTCAGGGGTGAACATTTTTTGTTGTTGTTGTTGATATTTTTTTATTTTTTTTTGCAATGTATGGTATAATTACAATCAAACATTTCATATCATATATTCATACCTCACACGACTCAGATATACTCTTACTTTCATCAGTTGATATACTTGACGCCAGTACATGTAATGGTACACATGTACACATATATTGCCTTAACAAGTGAACAAGTTAATGTTGCATGTATTTGTGTTTAAAGTAGTACTATTGCTGGGTTGTTTTTGAGGTTTTTGCTATGGGAAGTAACATCATTAAGACTGAATCTGGTAGATATGGATAAATCTAGCAGGCAGAGATTTAATGGCGTTGAAGGGTGACGAGGCGAGTTGAGGGTTGAAGAATTGCTAAAGTTAGGTTTTCTTAAAATAAAACACATGAATTATTGGTTTGATGGATAGTAGAAGCAGGCGAAACCTTTCAATTAATACTGGGGCTAGACTCTTCAAAGTATAACTTCTTCACTTAGTAGGCGTAAGGTTTGGTTTAGAACCTCTGGCAGAAGGTCAAAGTACCGATTACACACTCGTGATTTCTGTCTCGTATCAAGGGTATCATGTACTACCATCACCCGCCATCACTGTGTAGTATACTCAATTATGATCATATAATTATATATAATCTTCCTCAATTTAAGGCTCATTAAAAAAACACCCACTTGATCATTTACTTGATGATTGAGCAGGTTATAAATATGTATAATGTACCATCCAATATATAATGTACTGTCCAATATATAATGTACCATCCAATATATAATGTACCATCCAATATATAATGTACCGTCCAATGTATAATGTACCGTCCAATATATAATGTACCATCCAATGTATAATGTACCGTCCAATGTATAATGTACCGTCCAATGTATAATGTACCGTCCAATGTATAATGTACCATCCATTGTATAATGTACCATCCAGTATATAATGTACGATCCATTATATAATGTACCATCCAATATATAATGTACCATCCAATGTATAATGTACTGTCCAATGTATAATGTACCATCCAATGTATAATGTTCCATCCAGTATATAATGTACCATCCAGTATATAATGTACCATCCAGTATATAATGTACCGTCCAATGTACAATGTACCATCCAGTATATAATGTACCATCCAATGTATAATGTACCATCCAATGTATAATGTCCCATCCAATGTATAATGTACCGTCCAATGTATAATGTACCGTCCAATGTATAATGTACCGTCCAATGTATAATGTCCCATCCAGTATATAATGTCCCATCCAGTATATAATGTCCCATCCAGTATATAATGTCCCGTCCAATGTACAATGTCCCATCCAGTATATAATGTCCCATCCAGTATATAATGTCCCGTCCAATGTACAATGTCCCATCCAGTATATAATGTCCCATCCAATGTATAATGTACCATCCTGTATAATGTACCATCCAATATATAATGTACCATCCATTGTATAATGTACCATCCAATGTATAATATCCCATCCAATATATAATGTACCATCCAATATATAATGTACCATCCAATCGATTCAACAACCTCTGAAAAAAACTATTTTGTAGCACCTTATCAAGATAATGTCACTATTTATATATATATATTATTTTTTTATGAAAACAGCTTTTTTCTGTTGATTAAAATAGTGTCAGATAATTACCTCATTCCCAATGTAAAATGAGCATTCTATTTCCAAAACGGACCTCCCAATCAGTAACCTATTCTTTTAGCCCACCATCAGATGCCGTTCAAATCACCCTTCTGTGGTCCGTGGTCTGTCTGTCTGTCCGTCGTCTGTCCTTAAACAATTCTTGTTATCGCTATTTCTCAGAAAGTACAGGAGGGATCTTTCTCAAATTCCATATGAAGGTTCCCCTTGGTTTGTAATTGTGCATCTTCAGATGCTTTTTAGACTGATCAGATAAACGAAATGGCCGACAGGCGGAAATCTTGAATTTTGACAGTGAACGTTTGTTATTGCTATTTCTCAGGAAATTCTGGTGGGATCTTTCTCAAATTTTGTGTGTAGGCTCCCCTTGGTCTATAGTTGTGCACTTTTGCAACTGATCATATAAACAGTATGGCCGAAAGGCAGCCATCTTGGATTTTGATTGGGAATGTTTGTTATCGCTATTTCCCAGGAAGTTCTGCAGGGATCTTTCTCAAATTTGCTATGTAGGTTCCCCTTAGTCTGTAGTTGTGCATGTTTGCTTTGGAGGGTGATCATAAAAACAAGATGGCCACAGGAAGTTCTCATGAGATCTTTCTGATATTGTAATGATCAGATCTATTTCTCTTACATTTCAAGAACTCTACTAGTAAGTATGTGAAACAATGCATTTACTGTTTATATGACTTGATCAAACAGATAAGAGAAAAGAAGAGAAAATATCAAACTGACATAAACCAATGAAGATGTTACAATGGTGGACGCCAAGATCCCTTGCGGATCTCTTGTTTGAATTTCATCCAAAACTAAATTATGACCTTAGGAAACTAGGTTTTGAATAGGGCTTGGTATGTAAGAAGACTAAAAGTCAAATTTAAATAAATAAGTGAATATCCATCCCCCCAAAAATAGCTTTGATACATCTTGCAAGTTCTAAATTGTTGCGACTGTGCACGCTGCATTAATGTGTGTATATGGGAATAACAAAGAAATAAGGGACTAGGACCTGTGTGTGTTACATCTGATAGGTGTGGATTGATTCCTCTGTCTGCTAGCTAAATCCTACTCGACACAGATCAAGTCATTATATATTAATTATAGACTTCTATCCAAGAGTTGGGGGAAAATCCTTCAGGGATCTATACCTGGAGTTCTTCCAAAATTGATGGAATTCCATATTGACTAATTAGGTAACACTATAGGAAGACAAAGTCTGTATTCTATTTATGTTGTTGGAAAGTCTTCACAGACACATTGTGCTATATATAGATGTCAATTATATAATCTGTATACAGGTAATATGAGTTCACATTTTCTGCCTGTATTTCATATGTCCCTAGTTGAATGCAATGGAAATGTGAATATACAGGCAACTAATACAGCCCAGTGATAGCTGATAGAGACTATTAAACTACTGGTGTAGAGATTCATCATTGTTCAATTTAATTATAATTAATTTGGTTTAATTTAATTTTCTATTGTTCTGTTACAAACAATAAACAGCATCTACCACATCAAGTTAAAATAATCAAATCAAGCCACAGTTATATAGAGAACAGAACAATAGATATAATCAAATCTGGCCACAGTTATATAGAGAACAGAACAATAGATATAATCAAACCTAGCCACAGTTATATAGAACAGAACAATACATATAATCAAATCTAGCCACAGTTATATAGAGAACAGACCAATAAATATAATCAAATCTAGCCACAGTTATAGAGAACAGAAAAATAAATATAATCAAATCTAGCCACAGTTACATAGAGAACAGAACAATAGATATAATCAAAGCTAGCCACAGTTATATAGAACAGAACAATAGATATAATCAAATCTGGCCACAGTTATATAGAGAACAGAACAATAAGTATAATCAAATCTAGCCACAGTTATATAGAACGGAACAATAAATATAATCAAATCTAGCCACAGTTATAGAGAACAGAAAAATAAATATAATCAAATCTAGCCACAGTTATAGAGAACAGAAAAATAAATATAATCAAATCTAGCCACAGTTATATAGAGAACAGAACAATATATATAATCAAATCTAGCCACAGTTATAGAGAACAGAAAAATAAATATAATCAAATCTAGCCACAGTTACATAGAGAACAGAACAATAGATATAATCAAATCTGGCCACAGTTATATAGAGAACAGAACAATAGAGATAATCAAATCTAGCCACAGTTATAGAGAACAGAAAAATAAATATAATCAAATCTAGCCACAGTTACATAGAGAACAGAACAATAGATATAATCAAATCTGGCCACAGTTATATAGAGAACAGAACAATAAATATAATCAAATCAAGCCACAGTTATATAGAGAACAGAACAATATGATTGCTTACAGATGATGGTGATTCTGCATCTTGTGACATACTTGACTTGTAGTCCGTCACTGCTGTCATTCTAGTCGCGAAGCCTCATTTGACGTCATCAGGTGATGGCCAGCCCTCTTCGGATGTTTCGACCCTTAATCACTACATCCTCCGGCTGGTGGGTCCGTAGTGGGGGCCAAACCACTACTCGTCTATGTCGGCTTCCACATCGGCTCTTCTCGTTTGTGCCATAGCCAGCACGATGCTCTCTCTGCAACTTCTCCCAATCGTCTGATGGCAATTGTTAGCTCTTGCCCTCCCAGTGAGTCCTATTGACTGTAGTGTCCTCCACACTGACTGTGCGGGGAAACCTCTACAGCCAACCTCCACTGGAAAGAGCCATACTGTCCATCCTCTGCTCCTGCACTTTTCCATCAGCTCATCATACTTGGCTTTCTTCCTCTCGTGAGCTTCCTCGCAGCCTTCCTCCCATGGTACGGTGAGCTCTATGGCGATGAGGTGTCTGGATTGCTCTGTCCAGATTACCATGTCAGGCCTCAGTGTTGTTTCCACTATTCCTGGAAACACAAGCTTCCTGTCAAGGTCAACCTTCATCTCCCATGTTGACGCCCGTTCAAAGATGGATGAGGTGCTTCGAGGCTTCACTGTGGCTTTCTCCCCTGGTTTCACAAACTTGATACCAGCCTGGTTTGTTCTTACACCAGTTCTTTTCTTCCTTCTCTCCACTTCAAGGATATCCGCTAGGACCCGCAAGACGT